GGGTTTTCGGCGGGGTGGAGTGTCGGACTCGGACCGACTAAAACCACACGGTGTGCCACTCTGCGCCTGTAACAGGAGGGATCCGGGAACAGCTGTTATTAAGACATCCGGACCCCTCCTAGCGCCGGCCCGCTCCTGTTGCGGGCCCCGTCTCAAAATTATTATTATTATTATTTTTTATTTTTTTTTCCTCTCTTTAGGCGACGTCCGGCACACGCGGACGCCGCCCCCTCGCGGCTGGCCAAACTAATGCGGGTGGAGGGGAAACCCACCCCGTCCACCCGCGGCCACACTCACCTTGAAACAAACCCTATACCAACCCGTCTGGCCAGTGTGGTGTACTAGGCCTAAATCTCCTTTCTAAGGAGAGGCCTATGTCCAGCAGTGGACTATTACAGCTGTTAATGTGTGATGTGAGACAAATCATACAATCAAATTTGACATCGGGATGTCTGTTTCTAATACGGGTATTAGAAACAAACGCGCTGCTATAGTTAATAGCACTCTCAGGCTCTTGAATATTTTATTAAAATATTCTCAGACTCCTTTGAGGAAATTATAGGGGTAGGTATAACAGATACGTAAGGAACTTTAGCAGGAAAAAGTTAAATATAAAAGACAAGTTCAATTTTTTCTTGTCAGTTTTTTCGTTAGCAGGTAAAAAAGGACGATTGCTGTTAAATTACCTTAAAAACTTTTTAAACTTTTGACAGCGGTAAACGTTCTATGCCTCGAGCCATGCAATACGACATAGTATCGATGGACCAATATATAACTCTTCCTCCTAGCATTTTTGCTCGGACTAGGTTGGCGTCGGCTTTAATTCTGCTACGATACGGCTGTACGGCTGAACCCAGACCGCCACAACCCTAGGCGATATCGTAGTTCTGTACAAAGACTGTTGTCAGACTTTTTAAGACTTACTACCCGTAACGAGTGCCACAGATGTTCGTACGGCAACCGACAGCTTAACGTACACTCCGAGACACGGAGGGGTCTCAATATGTTAAGAAATGGTCACCTATCCATAGACTGACCCGGTTAGGATTCCTTAACTTTGCAATGTGTTAATATACTTAGTTACCCCATGCAGCAATATATAACTAAGTTTAATAAATATTGTGTACTAATATGATTCCATGTTTTAGAATACAATATTTTACAGGACCAAAGCATATGGTGGTAAAATTTCATAGTAACAATCGTAACCCATCTAACACAGATAAAGGTTCGAAGGACCATGTGTTGTTTAATATACATACAATTCAAGCAAGACTTCTTGAACAATAAACTACATTGCTGCAGTTTATATTTAATATTTAAACATAAGAATGTTTAAATATAAACGAAATTAACGCTGGTTTAACGGATAATCTTCATCATCATCATCAACAGCTTTTAATAGTCCACTGCTGGACATAGGCCTTTTCTTAGAAAGGAGGTTTATATAAGCTTCACTTGTAGCTAAATAACTAATTATGTAATCAAATCTTGGACGTCAATTAATATTATTAAATAAATTAAAGGTCGTAACGAAATAAAACTTTATATCTATATGTAGGTTGAATGTCAATTCTATTTTCTTGGCATCGTCTGAATCTTGATCGCATCTGATGAAGGAGCCAGGAGATAGACTAGTGCACCTCTCGAGTTTCGGATCATATGATTTCATTTGACAACTTTAACGGATTCGATTTATTCAACTGTAGTGTCTAGTACATTATAATTATACTTAATTTAAAATTCTTTTGTTCTATAAATTAATTTCAGTAGTAATCAATGGCAATCAATACATTTAAGCGGCTTAACTTTGAAGTATTGAAGGTGCCTCAGACAATAAAGCCCATAGGTCACTCCCGGTTTGGAGGGATTTAAAATTTCATTTATTTCATGAAAAGAATGGAATGGGGCTCGCGTGAGGGGCGCCATCTTGTGATTGGAAATATTTGCGTTGGCGTCGCGCAGGGCTGTCTCTTAATATGAAATATGAAAATAGATTCTCCTTACACGCCTTCGGAGATGTGTCACCCACCCTTCGCAGGTGTGAGTGTATAAGGTTTCCGTGGCTGCGAATTCTAAATAAATGAAATAACAGACAATAATTGTGTATGATCTGCACTTTTAGTTTAACAATAAAATTGTTTAGAAACGTAAGATGTACTTACTAATGTACGATAAACAATTTGGAAGGTTTTAATATAACATCGGGAAAGTAAAACTTAGTAACGGTCAACCAAAAGATTATTGATTTACCTGCATAGTAAAATAGAAGTACACATTTTGTTTGCCTAGACTTAGAAGTTTTTTTTACAGCTTCAAGGAAACCGCATACATAAGTAATTGATGTTAATTTAAACTTGACACACACACGTTCCTGAGAAAAAGAGTCTTGACAGGCCGACGGACAAGGATGTACGAAGAAAATAAGGGTTCTTTTTTTCTTTTAAAATAGAATTTATTTCGCTCCCATTTATTATTTACAATACATGAACATCACACTTATCTATATATTGGCAGGCCTCTTGGTGAAGTGGTTAGTGGGGCTGACTGCTACGCCGGAGGTAGTGGGATGATGCCGGATCCTGCATCATTTGGTCTGTTTCTGGGTGTTTTATCTTACGGTTTAAAGAAATTTATTTCTTATACGAACTTATGGTCCATTTATAATGAGATACAAACTTAAAAGTAATAATACAATGTAATTACCTTTAGGGTTAGAAGGGTTAGAAGTTGCACCAGGGACTTCCTTTCTAGGGCATACCTGGTTCCCCGGCTATTAGTACATGAGACGGCGTGCGGTTTTAGTCGGTTCGAGTCCGACATGCCACCGACAGGTGGTATCCGAGGGGATTTCCACACGGAAAAAAAAAAAGGGTATTAGAAGTTACATGTATCTATATTTCTTAAGCTTATTTAAAAGTGTTCACGTTGTCGCATTCTTTTATATCGGCCGGCAATCTGATGATCATTAATATGTAGGTATGTATTTAGAAATATATAAGTATGTTTATCAGCAGTCTGGTTACCATAGCACATGCTCTGCCTTGTTTGGGATCAGACAGCCGTGCGTAAGCTATATAAAGTAATTATTATTAGTATTATCTCTAAACATTTAGAGCTAAACTAATAAGTTGCAGATTGTGACAACCCTAGTTCATGGGAAGGTAGGAAATATTGCTTTAGCATAATTATATTAAATTTGCATGTTTCTCATAGAAATAAGGAATAAATATGTACGTACCTGTACTGGTGACGAAGGCAACTGACGCCCTTTAAATTGTTTATCGATAGAATATTCATAACATTTAAGAAACACTTGTACGGTAGACGGTATGTAGTTCGGAAATGCATGACGTGGCAGGTCGCTTTATTTATTCATAGAATAAATGGAAAAGACGGGGCCGTCAAGTCTATTCTATGTGTATGAATAAACGTTACTGGAACGAAGTTTCTTATCGCACGTTACAGCGTCTTTGAGCGAGACCGAAAAATGTGTAACAAGACTTTTTTCTCACACCAGCTGGCGCGTCGATGCTCACATCTTTTTCATATTTCATATACGAGTATATAGCAAGTGTCCACCAAAAAGCGAAAGGAACTTTGTTCCGACTGGGGGTCCATAGATCCCTCAAGCCGTTTTTGTACACTAGTTTGTTTTTCATTTCAATAGTACATTAAATTAATGACCATGTACGAATGATGGCCTTATAGTTATATTTATTTTATAATATTTCTTACTGGCAACTTTTGAATAAACAAATCGACTGTAGATAGGGTATCATGGGTACTTATGGTGTAAAAAAAAAGAAGTAAAAGAATCATAAAATATTTACACAGAAAACAGCATTTCATTTTGATCAAAAGTAAATAACGAGAGTAGTTGATTATATTATATAAATAGACAACATTTTACAGTAAATAGAACCAACTAAGACATTTATTAACGCTATATAAATCAAAAGCCAGTTATCTCTTTTCCCAGTGTCGCGTCGTCGCGCCCTCCTTTTGAGAAAGTTCTGTAGTAACAATTGTATTGGATTGAATCGTTCAATATATACTAAGAATACTATGAAACGGATACAAAAGATCTAGACTGTTCTAATCTCTTCCACTTCAATAGATCCAGACAGTTTAAACTGGGTCTATTTCTAACTTTCAAATTGTAAAGATTCGACAGAAAACTGTCTTATTGAAGAGGTGGATTATGTCCTCACTGATTTTATATCTGAGAATGTGAGTTTGTTTGTTTTCTTTTATGTAGACTACCACAGCCCATGGACACATGCAGACTCAGGAGGAGGGTGAGTTTTGAACCTTCGCTAAACGCACTTACTCGGTGAAGAGCAATGAACGAATTGTTAAACCCGGTTTATTTCAAGGCTGTGGCATCACTCTGGTAAAGTATTGCCCACAGGATCACGTTTTAACTACCGACCCGATATTATTGAACTTTTAACTCAGCATTAGTATCAAAATGTTGGCGTTTATACGCGTCCGTGTACCCCTTTTATTTTTTTATTTTTTTCCGTGCGGAAATCCCCTCGGATACCACCTGTCGGTGGCATGTCGGACTCGAACCGACTAAAGCCGCACGCCGTCTCGGGTACTAATAGCCGGGGAACCAGGTATACCCTAGAAAGGAAGTCCCTGGTGCCCCGACATGCCTCGGGTCATCTACAGACGAGTAGACGCCCCCCCCCCCCCATGTGTGGGAACCCCATGTTCCCTGTGCTCCCTGGAAGCGAGCGCGCTTCGCAACGCGCTCGCCGCCACCCCGGCCTGCTTCTGCTAGGGTGACAGATGGCCTCACCTGTCACTCCCAGGCCTGCGCTTATGGAGGACGGAGGTCGTTCTGCGCGTCTGTGTACCCCTGATAAAAGATGTGAGTGTGCTTGGTACCATTCCAAATACTCCTAGCCTTACAAAATCTCTCACCAGAGGAAAGATGGAAGAAGTTTTAGTATAAATAGTTGATTTATCGCTACTTTCAATTGTTACAGAACATTTACACTGCTGACCATATTCTCTCAAGTGATGACCGACGTCACGATACCGACCCTAGCTTGGAAGAAGGATAGAGGAATAACAATCATTTGGTTCCCGCTGTTTAAATTGTTTCCGGTAAGTGTGAACATGTACTATGTATTCTATTGTCAGAAAGAGGCACACACAAATTCATTCCTAATCACCACCAATTTCGTGCTATAGTGCAGAAGTTATATTTCTGCTTGTTTTATTTTGTGTCTTGTGTTTCGTTGGTCTGTCTATTCCGTCTAGTTTTCTTGAAGGGAAGCCTGCCAGCTAGAAGTAACGAATACTGACGGCCTTGTATGAAAGTTTTAATAATTGTACAAGAAACTCGGGCGGAATAATAATAACTTCACTCATCTCACACACGACCCCCTGATCCCAAACTACGCAGAGTCTATATTATATTAACCAGACTGCTGATAAACAAACTTAAATATTTCTAAATACACTGAACAAATAATCATTAACCATTACACAATTATTTGTCCTGGTTGGGATCGAACCCACAACCTCCGGTTTAGCAGTCAGGGTCAGTAACCAGTAGACTAAGAGGCCTGTCAAGGATGTATAGTTTATAAGACATATATCTCTGCCTACCCTGAAGGGTTCTCCTTTTGACAAAGGAATCCGTTTATGAATCTGCTTTTTTTAGATGTCCATATACCAGGGATGTGAGCTCATTTTTAATATACGGGGTTTTTGACTAGCCGAAATTATTATTATTACGGTATTATGGTTCAGTGGGTTCAGTCCAGTGGGTTGTGCTTTTCCAACCATTTACCAAGTTGGTACCTAAAACCATTTACTGATTCCGCGGTCACTACAAGCTGGAAGCTTGTCTCATATGGGAACAACATGATTATTAAAAGTGTGATAGCGATTGAGTGCGGTCTCGTGGTGAGTAGACTTTTTGTTGGACCAGGAACATATAAACAAGAACACATTTTACTCGCATTTCTGGTATCTGCTTAGCTATTAGGGTCTTAGCTGAATGTTAAACAGCCTTCTTCTAGAATAAGACCCTTAAATATAAGAATCGTTTTAAATGCTACGCCATCCGTGCAGTCAAAGTAAAAAAAAAAAGACGTGTGGCACTCGGGGACTGCCGCGGTAAAGCTATTGCATAGCATTTTGTATCAACTTATGCAATAATTATTTATTCATTTTATTTATGCAGTATTTCTTTTTCTTTGATATTTATTCTTTTTGAGCGTGGTGACCGATAAGAAAACATTTTTTTTTCTTTTATTAACTAAAAATATTGAAGCATATACAATTTGTTTTTAAATAAATAAATAAAAAATATTATTATTAAATCAAATTACATATCCATGTAAAAAATTTCAGCATTATGTTGACGAAATTTCCTTTGACGTTCAGCATTTGATTTTGGTACTGTTTTTTGTTTTGTTTTTAGCGTGAGGTTTTTTTCGTTACGGAATTTCTGGATTCGGTCCCCGCGCTCAAGGCCCTCGATAGAAGCTATGCAATAGCTTAAAAAAGAATACGATGTGTGGTCCCAGAGGTCCTCTTCAGTTTAGCGTAAGAAGTACGACTGATGACGTACACTCGTCTTTACGTAGATTTTCTTTCTTTTTAGTGACTCAATTATGGTATCTAGGGCAAATAGCATTTTTTTGTATAAAAATTAAAATGTTTCTTATTCTGTAATTTGAACCTGTATCCAAGTTCAATAGGTTTACCTGCCGCTAATGACATGTACACAAGATTTAATGATGATCAGTAAAGAAGTAGAAGGGCCATGCTTCGGCACGAATGGGCGGCTCGACCGGAGTGATACCACGGCCTCACAGAAAACCGGTGTTAGCCATTCTTTCGTTGCCTTTCACCGAGTGATTGAGGTTACCGGAGCCCAAATCCCCCCTTCCCGCTGACTCGAGCGGGAGATACTCATAGGGCAGCAACTTACTTTTGACTTTTGATTTGCAGGTGACCCGTCTGCTCGTTTGCCCCCTTATACCATAAAAAAAGGTCAAGGCGTGAAAGCGTTACATTAGTTCCAATTAGGATACGACGCTTTTATTGTAATGATATTTGCACACGAGACAGGAATATATAATTGTTGTTTACTATCCTTGTCTCTGCGCTCGCTTATGGCATACGTGCACGGGCATTGTAACTGTGCTCGTAAAACAATCCCAAACGTTGCATTAATTTACGAATTGATGATATTTTAGGTACTGTTGACTATAGTCATAATGTGGGCAGTATGCGGGATTCTCACTGTGACCGAGGTGTTACCATCAGGTCATCCAGCCAGGACTGACGTGAAATTGAATATTATTGAAGATGCACCTTGGTTCCGTGTACCATATCCAGGTACGTTAAATTTTAGGGTTTCCTTGAAATGCAATAACACTATATTTATTTAAAACTTAAAGCACATTGTTGTACAAAGGTGGACTTAATGCCATGAAGCATTCTCTTCCAGTCAACCTTCAGGTGATGTAGAAATATGATGCGGTAGGTGCACAGATAAAGCATACAATTTGTCGTAGCTGATTTTAGTTTGATAAATGAGAGATCAACCAACATTAGATATGACTAATTAAATGATTTTTATTGAGAAAAATGGCGTTGTTTTATCCGATATTTAAACATTGAAAACTTTTTCTTGAATACATATAGTACAAAAATACTGTATTATGATAATCAGTAAGTTTCGTACTTATTCTTTTGCCCTTAACGATTAATTATTGTATCTTAACTTGGCTCGGCTAGACTCTTCCTGCTTCTACGCGAGCAGAAGTCTAATTCTTTCCATTTTAACTTATCATCACATCAGCCTTTAATAGTCCACTGCTGGACATAAGCCTCTCTTTAGAAAGGAGGTTTTGGCCTACTGTACCAGACGGGTTGGTAAAGGGTTTGTGTCAAGCTTTCCTTCTCTCTATAGTGCTGTTTTTCTGCGTAGTTTTCTCTCTTAGTCGGCTCTTACGACACCTACAAGATGAATAGGGGTGGTGACACTCCGTATTCTCAATCCGTCACCACACTGACCATTTTAACCTGTGTATAATTTTCCACACAGTCCTGAACCATTCAAGATTAGAATGAATACGTTTCTCTCGTATGAATAAGCCCCGTCTTCGTGTTTATTTGTTACTTCCATCAGGTCAGATAGAAAATAACCTCCTCTTCTAAATTTTCTTGGCACAGCTGGTTTTGATAATATGATTAAAATATTGTTTGTTTACTGTAGGACAATGGGGAGCTCCGACTGTGAGCGTGGCTGGTGTGCTGGGTATGCTGGCGGGGGTTCTGGCGTGCACCGTCGAATCTATCAGCTACTACCCAACAACTGCGAGGATGTGTGGTAAGTTTATTGATGTTCATGACCTAATAAAATAAAAGTACTTGAAAAATTGTATTTTTTGGTTAAAAAAAATTAGGTGTAGCTTTTCCCTAACGTATCTTTTATATCAATTTATTTAGTTTAATTAATTTATTTTTTAATCATTTTTTTAAATTTTTAATTAATTTATTTAGCCAGTATAATTTGCAACAGCCAGTTTAATTTAAAACAGCCTTTAATAGTCCACTGTTGGACATGACCCTCTTTTTAGGAAGGAGGTTTTGGTCTACTATACCACGATGCCAGACGGGTTGGTATAGAATTTGTGTCAAGTTTTCTTCTTTTAGCAGTGCCTTTGTCCTGCATAGTTTACTCCCTCGACTTGTAAGAGTAGTCGATTCTTACAACACCCATGGGATAAATAGGGGCTGTGACAATCTATATACTTAATTTGTCACAACACGTTAGCTTTCACACAACTTGTAATTTCAATATTATACATTTTATTTTATTCATATCTGTAGCGGCTCCTCCACCTCCCCTGCATGCTATCAATCGCGGTCTTGGAACTGAGGGGCTCGGATGCGTCCTGGCAGGACTCTGGGGCTCTGGTAATGGAACCAACACCTTTGGGGAGAACGTCGGTGCTATAGGCGTTACTAAAGTAAGTTTCGAAACTTTTAACAAGATTTAAAAGGTAAGAGAAGTGGTAAAACGCGAGCTTGATGTGTTTATATATTTCACCGAATTGTCATTGTACTTAATCCGTCTATTCTTAATTTGGTCACCGTGGGAGATCCACGAGTCCGCACATCTAGGGGGGCTCGACCGCGGTGATACAACGGCCTTGCAGAAAACTGGTGTTAAGCTATTCTTTCGTTATTTTTCAATCCCATCCCCCTCTTTTGAGGGAGCGACAACGCACTTGTGATTCTTAAGTTGTCCATGGGCGGCGGTAGTCACTTAAATCAAGTGACCCGTCTGTTTGTTTGTCCCATATGCAACTCAAGATTATGCTAATTATGCCTCAGAAGTTAGAAAAGAGTGTACTTATATAAAAGTATATAAATTATTTACGTTTCAAGGTGGGTTCCCGCCGTGTGGTGCAGTGGGCTGCAGGACTGATGATAGTGCAAGGGGTGATAGGCAAGCTGTGCGCAGTGTTTATCATCATCCCACAGCCCATCGTCGGTGGTCTATTCTGTGTTATGTTCGGCATGATATCGGCTTTCGGTAAGTGTATTCTACTACGTCAAGTATTTAATTTTACATTGTCTATAAAATTCAGAATGATTTTTTTCCGGATTCTATTCGAGATTTTCAAATTACATAGTGAATAACTGGATGAATGATAAGTTTTCAGTCAAAGTATGAATGAGAAATATTGTAATGCTGCACGACTGCACGGATGGCGTAGTGGTTTAAGCGGTCGCCACGCTGCTTACTACTATGTCGAGTGTTGTGGGTTCAAACCCCATACGGGACGACACTTTGTGTGATCCACAAATTGTTGTTCTGAGTCTGGGTGTTCTTTGTGTTCGTTTCATGTTTTTTTTTTTTTTTTTTATTTAAATAAGAAAACAGCATAACATAAAAACATGAAACACCCATAAAACACGTATTGGTTTATCTTGGGTGTGAGTGTACATTCCTCATTCCTTTATGTTTCGTTTGTTTATTCACTATAATAACAATAATTTTAATAGAAATACACTGGTAGTAGTACAATAAATAAATAAAAGGTGCAGGGTAGGTAGGCGTACAAATCTTCCAAGCGTTTGTTGACCGGTATGGTTGTTTACGTTCGATAACAGTATGTTATTCGCACCTACTTTTACTACTACCTACTTTTACGAGTTCGCTTAGAGTCTATATAGGGTGATTGGTATCTAGTACTTTTTAAATAATATAAGTGCATTAATTATTTTAAAGGCATATGCATATATTATGTATCAGATGTATTTATTTATAAATTATATAAATTGTAAAGGTTCATTTTAGCTTACTGTTTGCAGGTAGGTAAATATTTTTGACTATTCGTTTTATGTTGAGTAAATCTATTTTATTCCTTGTTTCTAATGGTAGTTCATTTATAAGTCTTGGTACGAGGTAGTCGTTAGTTCGCTTGCCGTAGTAGTTGTTAGCTGTTTTGGTAGTTAGCATTTTATTTACAATTTGACGGGTCATAATGGGGTGTTTTTTTAGATTACTATTGAATTTAAAATAATTTTCTATAATTATCACCATTTTTACTTTCTCATGAACGGGTATTATTTTACAAAATTGAAACAATTTTTCATCATCATAATTAAATTGTATACGTACTTTTTTGGGTACAATAGCCTTTAACAAACGAAGTTGTAAGGAATGAATTTTTTGCAGATATAATGGAAATGTCCGTCCATAACTTCTGAGTCCATATAGTATAATACTCTCCGCTAAGGCTGTATACATATCTAACAAAATAGGGAAAGGTATTTTATATTTAAGTATATAGAATTTTGCTAAAATGGCGCGTAGTTTATCACACACAGTTTCAATTTGAGCAGACCAATTAAACCTATCGTCTATTATTACTCCTAAATACGTGGTTTGAGAAACTTTATTAAGGCGTTCGCAATTACATTGAGTTGTTCTACCATGCAAACAGTCGTGATCATGGGCAATCAATTTAATGTCAGAGCCACTGTACTTTTTATTATAGATCGATGACACATGAAGCAGTTTCGTTTTCTGCGCATTCAGGACTAACCCTACATCATGAGACCACTTTGTTAGAAGCGTGAAATCTGTTTGTAGTCGATTCATCGCTACTTCTATATCACGATCAGCCGAAATGAGACAGGTATCATCAGCATACTGATAAACAACACAGTTCTTTATGATGTTGTTCATGTCGTTCACATAGGCAAGATAATGCAGAGGGCCTAGTACAGATCCCTGCGCTGTTCCCCCCACAACTTTAACCTGCTCACTCAAGTCTTCATTTATCTTTACGTGATAGGACCGATTTTTTAGATAGTCTGCACACCAAGCTAGAGGGGGACCGCGTATGCCACTGCATTCTAATTTTTGTAGCAGTGTGTCATGCCTCAAGGTGTCGAATGCTTTACTGTAATCTATGAAGACCATGAGAACATGCTTTTTTTCATCTAATCTGCCGTTTACATAATCTGTAAAACTGGAGAGTAGTTGCGTTGTACTCTTTTTAGGCTGGAAACCGAACTGATTATTTGATATAATTTGGTGATGTCTATAAAAGTTATGAATTTCATTACAAATGTATTTTTCTACTACTTTGTCAATTATAGGTAATATAGTAATAGGCCTATAGTTGCTGTACTTATTAGGTGGTCCTTTTTTATAGATTGGTCTAACTAAGCCTACCTTAAGTTCGTCTGGGTAAGAGCTCTTATTCAGACTTTCTTTAGTTAATTTTGCAATTGCATAGGATAACTTTTCTGCTGTGATTTTAATGTCTATTGGTTTAATTTTGTCTATTCCAGGAGATTTATTGGTTTTAATGTTTTTAATTATTTTAAGAATGTCTGTTTTTGTAGGTTTTTTTAATAACATGGAAACGTTTGCATTTTTGACATAAGAGTTAGGGTCGAGTAGGGAGATTTTGCATTTAGGTACTATAACTTTTACTGAGTTTTCGAATTCTTTAGCAAAATTATTGGCTATAGTTTTACCACAACAGTTTTGTTGGCTAAATGCCTTTAAAATTATGCTGTCCAAAGAGGACTTCAGTCGACCTGTCATCCCATTTAATATTTCCCACAGTTTTTTGGGATTGCCCCTATATGTACTGATTTCCTTTTTGTAGAATTGATTTCTGGTTTTCTGTACAGTTTTGTTGTATGTGTGTTGTGTATATGTATGTTTGTAAAGTACCCCGCTACACAGGATGGATTCCTAATGCGGGAGTTGTCTTTAAAAAAGAAAAGAAAAATGCAAAAAAACTCCATTTTACCATAATACTTTACTGACTGTTCTCTCCAATGTTAAATGCGTTTATTGTTACTCCTTCGTACCCAAGGATCGTTAAACATTCTTTGTAGTATTGTTAGGCGTCATCCAAAACACTGAATGGAGCTTCTCTTCAAAGAAGACGTTTATTATCTATGGGTTAACAATGTGAAGTACAGAGCCAAACTGAGAATCTGTCAGTGGCAGCAAAACTATGTATAAGCGTTGACAACCTTACAAAGTATAGATATTTTCGGCAATTTCTAATTTCCGAACGCAAATTTTCATACTATGGACAATAACATTCGGAAATATATTTACTTATCTGATTGTTATTTCTAGAAATTAGAGCGAGAGTGAACGAGAGAGAGAATAACCAAAAAAGATAAACTCTTCAGTTATTCTTATGTCCTTATTTTATCTCTCGTTTTCTAGGTCTGTCATCTCTCCAGTACGTGAATCTCCATAGCTCACGAAACCTATACATTATCGGCTTCAGTCTCTTTTTCCCCCTGGTGTTGACCCGATGGATGTCAGCCAATGCTGGAGTCATACATACCGGTGTCGATGCCTTAGATGCTGTGCTGCAAGTCCTTTTGTCTACTTCTATTTTAGTAGGCGGGATTATAGGATGCTTTCTGGACAACTTGATACCCGGTAAGTTAGTTGTGTGTATGTTTCTTTTTAATATACTTGTATGTTTTTAAATACAAACGCACTTATTATGGACAAATTGTATCCAGACACGGCCTAATTTATTTATTTATTTATTTATTATAATAAGTACAACCACATTGTATATATCACACAATTCACGCTACATTCAGTTGATGGTAATTATTCTGATATATACAACAATTACGGTGTACATAACATTCATAACAATATCAGTACAGTGAGATAAAATATGGATCCAATGGAACAGTTACTAGAAATTTTGTTAAAAAAAGAAACAGTAAAAATAGCAGCAATAGCAAATAAAAAAAAAGATGATTACTAAATATAAATATTGAACTAAAAAAAGAACATAAGTGGTTTCTAAAAACTACTACGAGTACAACTAGGCAATAACTTTGATTTTAAACGGGTTAAGCGCATGTGGAAAATGTCGAGATCGTCGTAATTAATCTTACTCATCACACAATTTTTTGCCCTGGGTCTAATCGAACGCACGACCTCTAGCATAGGGGTCAGGGTCACTAAACACTGACCTAAATCACACTCACGTAAGTTAGCGGAGGACTTTACACAGGATTTACCAAATTAGAAAAAAACATGGCCAGATACTGTAACAAAAATGACAAAGATTAGGTAACTGAAATAGAATGAAATCCAGAAATCTATATAACTTAGTCGCAATTTAAGTCCAACTCATTTAAGATAAAAATTAAGTTGGTACTAATTACCATTCGGGTTACTAATATGAAAACTCCTAGCGTTAAGGCGATGCAGACGGTTGACACGTGCCTGACACGTGTAAATATCTATTCGAGTGTAAAACTTGAGCACTGCTTGTGTCTTTAGTACGCATGTTGATTTACTCAGTTTTTAATAATAATAATAACTTCACACATCTCACATACGACAGTCTGATCCCAAACTAGGCAGAGCCTGTACTATGACAACCAGACTGCTGATAAACATACTTATACATATATTTCTAAATACATACATATTATAGATAAATTAGACACAGAACAAATGATCGAGCTCTTTACACAATATTTGTCCTGGGTGGGAATAGAACTTACGATCTCCAGCTTAGCAGTTAGGGTCACTAACCACCAGACCCATTAATAATTATACGAATGAATTCAAGAATCGTTTAATATTGTCAGGCACGGACGAGGAGCGAGGACTGGCCGCCTGGGCCAAGGAAATGTCCCTTGATGCACTTGGAGCGTCTGACGAGGGAGACACATACGACTTCCCAGTGGGAATGAGCATCATCAGAAGGTAACATTGGTTTTATAATAAATGTATTTAAGTCTCAGACATAGTAGGAATGATGCTCTTTTTTGACGTGCGGTCGAATCTCCGCTTTCGCTTTATACTCTGTTGTTTTTATGTTTGAGGACTTTATTATATATTCTATAAGCAGTTTTTCTTTAATTATATATTATTTCATAATATAATATTCATTGTATTCAAAATCATTGTACAAATTATTATCAAACTTGATTTACGAATCGCGGATGGAAACGCAATTTGACGATTACATAAATATTGTGATTGTAACTTACTTTGTCTTTAAATAAAAAAATAGTGTCACTAGCAGGAATACATCACATCACATCAATCATCATCATGATGTTTTCTGAGAGAAAATAGTCTAAGTTACTCCTTATATAGACAGCTACTTGGTAGTAATCAATCATCATCTACAGCCTTTAATAGTCCACTGCTAGACATAGGCCTCTCCTTAGAAAGGAGGTTTTGGCCTACTATACCACGCTGGCCAGACGGGTTTGTATAGGGTTTGTGTCAAGTTTTCCTTCTCTCTGCAGTGTTGTTGTTCTGGGTGATTTTTTTCCTTAGTTGACTCTTACAACACCCATGGGATGAATAGGGGTGGTGGCAATCTGTATTCTTAATCCGTCACCACACGGACGACCTTTACTACCACTTGGTAGTAAAATATTATCAAAATCGGTCCAGCCGTTTTGAAGATTACCCGAACAAACAGACAGACAAAAAATATTTAAACTGGTTTTTAGGCATAGGTATCGTGCAAATAACCGTGTAAGCATGAAAAAACCTATTATTTTGACATTACAAACAGACATTTCAATTTTATTTATTTGTATAGATAAACACTGACATTTATTAATTATTACAGATGGGAATGGACAAAGTACGTACCTTTTATGCCGACGTACGAAGCTGGGAAGTTCACAGCACTCTTCAAGAAAAAAGAAATGTGAACACTAGTCTTTTTGCATAATATTATTCCTACCAATAGTTAATTAGACATCTATTGTCGCATTACAATTAACAGTTGTGAGTTGCGTCAAATCATGTCACAGAATATTATAGACAAGGGAAAGATCCCCCTTCTTTTGCTGCAATCCCTCGGATACCACCAACCGGATGACCGGTGGGTAATGATGACCGAGGAGCCAGGTGTACCCTAGAAAGGAAATCCATGGTACAAGGAGGGGAGGGGGAAGTCCCTCTACGTTTAATTTGTCGTTAATCTCTCACAGTAAGGAAGGATATATGTGTATAGTATGACCTAGTCAAACAATATGCTGCAATATGACTGCACGGATGGCGTAGTGGTTTAAGCGGTCGCCACGCCGCTTCCTACTGCGCCGAGAGATGTGGGTTCAAACCCCACATGGGACGACATTTTGTGTGATCCACAAATTGTTGTTCTGAGTCTGGATATTCTTTGTGTCCGTTTCATGTATGTTTGTAAAGTCCCCCGTGACACACGATATATGCTTATGCGGGAGTTGTCTTTTAAAAAAAAAGAGAAATATCAGTTCCAGATGTCGTCATTGCAGGTCGTGGTCGTAGCCTTATTCCAACTTGCAGCGTTACATATTTCTCACTAAAATTGTATGTATTTTTCTTTGGTATCTTAGTATAGAAGAAAAAACCTCAATACGATATTTGTGGCTTTGTGCTTGTGATATTTTTGCCAATTTTTAATTATTGAACAGTCAGATAAAGTTAGCTCTAAGGAAAGTTTCATCAAATATTGTCACTTGTTTAAGAATTATTGTCATAAACACATAAATAGTGTTATAACAGGCTTCTTTGTCAAGTGTACTCAAAGTGTCAGTAAAATTGTATTTAATTCAGTCCTTATCATCACACCAACAGCCTGTAATAGTCCATTGTTGAACATAGGCCTCTTCTTATAAAGGAGGTTTTGGCCTACTATACCACGCTGGCCAGACGGGTTGGTATAGGGTTTGTTTCAAGTTTTCCTTCTCTTTGCAGTTCTGTTGTCTTAGTTAGTTTGCTCCCTCAGTCGACTCTTACGACAACCCCCGGAATGAATAGGGGTGGTGACACTTCGTATTCTTAACCCTTCACCACACGGACAATTTAGTCCTAAATGCATTAAACGTGTTCAAATTGTTTAATTAATAACGAAAACTTACCACGAATGTGTGTGGTTCTTTAAAAGTAATTATTTTATTGCTTTAGTTTTCGGTTCTAGATATTGTTTAAGTTTTAATAATGTTATGTTACTTTGGATAGTTTTGAGGAGAATCTTACAGACTAACATACATGTGTTAAAGAATCAAGATGTGAAAACCATTTCGGTGTGAGTACTTAATACACACAGAAATAGTTTTTCACATCTTGATTCTCTATTCTCTATTTTGTTTTTCTAAGATGTCATTGTGTTTTTAAGAGATAATGTACCTACTTATTTTGCACAAAAAAAAGAACAATTTGTTTCAAAAAATATATTAATCAATAAGATTTATTAAATAAATAAAATACAGTGGTTGTTTTATTTATATGGCCTGTTGATCTAGGTTAGTGACCCTGACTATTAAGCCGTTAAGTTGTGGGTTCGATTTCCACCCTGAACAAATAATTATGTGATGAATATGATCATTTATTCTGTGTCTAATACGATATTTACTATACGTGATCCGTCTTTGATACTATAGTAAGCTTTCTGAAACTACGTAATTATGTTTACGAGGATTAACGCGTTCACGATAGGTATTAAGTACATACCTTTAACATGCCTGACGTTACAACCAGGTTGCACTGGCCTTAGTCAGGCTTTCCGAAACTATTAATGTTTATGAACCTTTTAAATTGTGTTTCAGATAACTCATGCACATTATGATATACGCGTATACAGTAGGCTTACCACATGACCGGGAAATCCAGAAATGGCCTGGAATATTGCGTCTTGTCCCGTGTCCAGTAATTAGACCTTATTGACTCGGAAACTAGTTTTTCTAACAAAATATACGCGGACCGATTAAATGTATTAATCAATAAAAGTTCACTATTATTTATGTTTAACGCTTTGATTTCTTTTCAAAATCCAACGAATCAACAAATCATAAGGACCTTACAACCCTACCAACCCTAGTTTACAATTACCTACCTGACCTAGATAACATTTATTAAAACAAGGGTATTTATCATAGAAAGATAATTAAAGACGGTATTACGTTTCCATTACCAATAAGTACGGATATCATGTCTCTTTTTCTATTACCAGCCTTATATGTATCCTTTCCTTTTCTATCACACACTAATAGTAAGTAATTTGTCTCGTCATCTGATCCTTTTCATATTATGTGTATACAAGGTGTGGTCATATTTTAAGAGCATTTTTTTTTAATAGGGAGCTACAATGCATTTGTATCTGTTGAGATATAAGTGTCCTTGGGCGGTGGTAGGCACTTGCAATCCGGTGACTCATCTGCCAATTTGTCCTCGATACTACTCAAAGAGCCCTTGTCCGAGCCGATCATTTTTAATGAGGTCATCCTAGGAGAGCCATGCTTCCGCACAAATGGTCCGTCTCGAACGGAGTGAGTCCACGCCCTCACAGAGAACTGGCGTTGAGCAATTCCTTTAATGCTTTTTACGGAGTGAGTGTGGTTACCGTAATCCAAACCGGAGCCGAAATAAGGGTAGGTTTCGGTGGTTAATCATCAACAGCCTTTACTAGACCACTGCTGGACATAGGCCTCTCCTTAGAAAGGAGGTTTTAGCCTACTATACCAAGCTGGCCAGACGGGTTGGTATAGAGTTTGTGTCAAGTTTTATTCAGACAGCTGATACACAACGCCATCTAGTTACAAACTAAGCAGAGCTTGTACTATGAAAGCTTATTTCGTAAATACATGCATATTATAGATAGAAAATAGCCAAACTCCGAAAAAAATGTTTGCAGATCATACAAACATATGGTGCGAACATTTTTATTTATTTGCACATAACATGCGTTAGCGAACTTAATGGCAAAGGCATTCTCTTCCAGTCAACCATTGGGTGACGCAGAGAAAACATGAAGTAGGTGCATTTTGATTACAGGTCATTTTATACAGACTAAAAGCAATTTAAACTAAATACAAAATCACTTATCTATACATATACAAACCTATCATATACAACACCTATATATATTACACATGGGTACATACATTACAGTACATAAATACAGTAGAAAAGTATATAAATACATTAAAATATAAATACTAATGATAGTTTGACAATGACAATACCAATGAACATTTCTGAGGGGAATCCCCTGATTCTGAAAGGGCTCAAAAAGCGGCAACGTACTTGTAACTATTAAGTTGCAGGTTTCCATGGACGGCGGTAGTCACTTGCCATCGGGTGACTCGTCAGCTTTTTTGCCCCCTATGCCATAAAAATGAAAATTTTCAAATTAAATTTGAAAGTTTCAAAAGATTTCTGTATTAAAAGATCATTGGTTCTGATCCATGTCCACACCTTGTATATTACGACTAGTTTTCTTAACATTATTTTCTTTGGATCTTAGACTGTGTGTAACGAGATAAAAATGTAAGCCGAAGCAAGGGTAGGGTTAATGCCGGGTGAGCCAATGGTGCAGATCAACGTAAATGGATTCATACCCTCGTGATGTTCTTATGACGTGTTAAGAGAGTTAAGGCGGGTTATTCCAATGTGCCCGTATGTCTAACATGTAGGTAATATCTTCACGGGTATCTTGGTATGTTATTGTGTAATTTACACGTGTCTTGATACTGGGTATGATCCTCACTGCTAAGTCTGAGGCCATGGGTTTGATTGTCTTAAAATTAATTTTATAAAATTTTTATACTTTAATATGAAAATTAAAATAAGAATAATCATTAATACGAGTATTATTTATAGTGCTTAGTATTCTATTGTTTCAAATAGGAAGGTTTAAGTTTAAAGAAAAACTTTTTAAAACCCCTTGTGGAAACCCCTTCGGGCCGTCACTCTACCGGGGTTTACAGCTTGGTGGTGTGTCGGATCCGACTAAAACCACACGGTGTGCTATTCTGCACCTAATATAGGAGGGTTCTCTAAACTGCTGTTATTAAGATATTCGGTCCCTCCTAGCGCCTGCCCGCAAAGCGCGGGTACCTTCTGCGAGATGACGTCTTCGTAGAAAGACGCGATCGCGCTTGCCATGGAAGCACCTTAATACTGATGAAACGATTTACTAATAATACCACCACGATGTTTCGCACAGTTATCTTGACATAATAAGTTCATTAAATTCTAAATCTAATTCTAATTCGGAATAAACAGGTAGCACACAGTACTGGCGTTATGTCGCTCAAAACCTTGATGTAATCAGAGTCTAGTTGGTTTGAAAACAATTTTTTTCATTATTACCAATCATAAAGCGTCGCTGAGACAGATTAACAAGTGACGGCTACCTAATAATCTTTTCGTTCAACGTCCCACAGCTTTGTTCTAAAAAATCTCATTATATATTTTGACCTAATACTTAAGAGGTTACAAAAAAAAATACACATCAATTTTCAGCAAACTATAAAACAAAATACCACTTAGCAGGTTTAATTAGTTATTTTAGATATATTAAGCCCATGCAAAGTCACAATGTTAGCCCTGGCTTAAATACTAATATTTATTTGCTTATACTTTGCTTATGTTTATATTCAATATAAACTACACTAGTAGCAATGAGTAGTAGCAATAAGGTCGTAAGTTCAACTGGTTTTAATTCTAAAACTACGTAAGAGTGGGACTGGACTTATGACCGCAACCGTACCTTTCGTCTCTTAATGCCTTAGGCATTAAGCCCGCCAAAGCATCAAATCATATATAAAGGTTAAAAAATAAATAAATAAAATAAAGACCAATAATCGGTGCAATTCGGCAGAAAAAGTATCATATCTAAAAACTTGATGATAAACATTATCGCGAATAAATACCGATTTAAACCATT